GTAAAAAAAAGGCGTCACGACTGGTGTCAGTGCGGGGGATATACCTGGCAAGCTCGAAATAGCACGCACTGCCCACGAGAGCGACACGGGCTTGGCGGACCAAAGATCTGTGTATGAACGTAACGACTGGTGGGAGGTTTTTCTCGTGTTTTCTCGCGTTCATGTTACAACTTCGAAGAAAACAAACCTCATATTCAGATTCACGGGATAAAAAAACCTGAAAATACTATAAAAATCCCCTCTAACTCGATTTTTTTTTCATAACCCTGTGTAGGTTTTTTTTTTCTTTTTTTTTTTTTAAGGCGCGTTAAGAATGGTGAGTTCCAGGCACCTATAATCGCTTCGCAACCAATATTAGTGTGGCATTCGCCGGTAGGATTGTCGAAGAACGAACGATTCCCAAAGAAAGAAGCGTTAATCTAATACCGAGCAGCACCTCGCGTTGCGGAAACTGTCAGTGGGTGTATACTGAGAGCAAGTGTCCCCCCCCCCCCCCCCTAAAAAAAGAAAGAAAAAGAGTCTTCGGCGCATTGAAATGCTGGGAGGAGCACGCCAATCAAATGGAAGCATCTAGAACGCGCAGAGAATGCGCCGCCGTGGCGAGGAAGGGCAAGAGCGCGCGCCGTCGTTGCATAAGGTTCGGGAAAAAGAAAAAAAACACGTGTGCGCGCAATCTGGAGGGCAAACAAACTCGAGGAGCGGAAGGACCAGACGAACTTGCAGGCCGTATATGTGGCGTAGCCATTTTAGTAGAAAACACGAGCTTACGAGCGTGCATGACACGCTTCTGGCAACCGTGGAATAAAAAAAAAGAAAACGCTTCGTTGGAGCGCCAGTTTCGCAATCGTGGGCGTGCCTTAGCGAGGCCTCACTATATACCAGGCAATCCACACGCACCACCGGCGGCAGGATACGGCGACGCCCGGTCTGTGTACTTACGATCGCGTGTGTGTGTGTGCATATCGTCGACCTTTTAATGCGAATATAATGATTACTTTCAAAACTTTTTACTTCCCATTAAACGTATGCAGCTAGTGCAGCTTTCCTACGCGTCTACTTACCCGCAAAACACTCAAATAGCCAATCTCTGCGATCTACGAGATCAGCCCAGCGAATGATGAGGCGGAACATCCGTTTAGACCTACAAATGAAGTCTGCGCTGTGGGATTACGCAATGCAAAGCGTCATGCTTGCGTTGCGTAATGCCACAACGCAGACGTAATTTGGAGGTGTAAACAGACGTTTCGCCTCATCATTCGCTGAGCTGATTTTATAGATCACGGAGATTTGGCTCCTCGAGTGTTTTGCGGCTAAGTACACGCGCAGGGATTTCTTAGAGTGCTGATTCACACGGTGCGATTTCACTCGCACTTTCGCACTCGCTTCGTTGCTCGGATATGGCAAACAAAAAGCGTGGAGTACGCTGCTGCGGTGGCCGACGTCGCATGTTGTGAATTTGCAACCAAATTCGCATCACGTGACTCACGCTTTAGTGTTACGAAAGAGCTGCCTTTACAGTATTACTACCATCTCTGTGTTGGCGACTTAAAAACCATGAGGCACGCCTAATTGTGAGCGCGGTCCTCTTAATTAGCTTGCGCTAGCGTTTTATAGTTATTCCCAGAATGAGGGTGGGCAACGCGCGTCTTAGGAACGGCCGACATGCAGCACGGGCACTGCATGCCTTCCGCGGTGCTTTGTTTGCGCGCGCTAGAGTTGTACGAGACGTGGAAGCATCGCCGAAGGTCGAAAGCTCGCACTGGAGGCGGAAAAACAGAAGCTCCTCCCTGACCTCCTCACCTTGTCAGTAACTAGAGAGCCCTTTTAAAAATTACGTACTCTTACGGTCGATCCAGAAATGCTGCAAAGTGCCGTGCGCAAAAATCAAACACCATAGAAATAGCGGGTCTATCGATCATATATATTCTCCTGGAATTAAGTATTATAACAGTTATGTAGACTTCCCAGCTCGTTAATTTTTGGTTTTTTTCGCGGGCGCTACACACGCCGTAAGAGGGCGTTATTTTCTTAAAGGGTCTATAGGCATTCGTATGGGCGAGCCTGGTGTGCTACCACCTATTCACGAGCTGAGCAGTCATTTTTGTAACTATTTATAAGCCTTCTTATTTCTCAAGATAATTCAAAGCCCGGCGTTTGAAGGTAGAGCCCGCTGAATGTGGCACGTTTGCAAGACGTCTCACTTTGCTCACTGCCACAGTCCAGATTGCTTTGTGCGCGTGTGTTTGTGTGTGTGTGCGCGTGTTTGTGTGTGCGTGCGCGCGCGCGTGTGTGTGGGTGCGCGCGTGCCCGTGTGTGTGTGTGCGTGTGTCTGTGTGTGTGCGCGTGTGTAAAGATATCTTCAACCATTCTATTCGCCGGGGCGTGCTCCGTAGATTGCGGCTATTTGCTCCCTTTACGCTTAGCAGACTGACTAGATTTTGAAGAAAATTGGGTTTTAAAGGGAAGCATTGCATTCGCTGGCCTGATGCCGCGCTGACCAACTCTTGCGATCGCTGACTAGGTTCACGGTGCGAGGATCTAAGTCTGTGGGAAGCGATTGGTTCATAACATGAGCGTAGCAGTATGTTCGTTAATTCGCGGGTACCTGTTTTGCTATGAAATTGAGTTGTAATGCCTGATGTCTATGGAACGATGTTAAGTTCCATTTCGCAGTGGCGACATCGCGTATAAAGCAAAACAAAACAAAAGAAGCGTGTTGGAAGCTGCGGTGCCCGATGCCGCAGCTGTGAAACCTCAAGCAAACTTCCATCACGTGAATCAGGCTTGAATCCCGATTCACATGGTACGATTTTACTTGCGATTTTGTAGCTGCGGCGTAGGGCACCGGCAGCTTCCACCATGTTTCTATAGTTATGTTTTTGTCGCACGAGCGACGTCGCAACTGCGGTATTGCAATTAAAAGTGAACCATATGGATAGGCCTCGAAGGGACCATCAAACGATTTTTCTACTTTCACTAATTACTACTCAAAATCACTCCTTAACGTTAATACCTTGCTATAATTGCATTAGATTTTTTTTCAAAACAAATGCAGTAGAAAAAAAAATACTTTGATAAATATGAGCATCGTTCACCCACTCAACTCGGAGCCAGAACAAGCGGCCACGTGACCTGGCGCCTAACCTGTGCTGCCAACGTTAATCGTAGTCACGTGCTCGGGTCCGCAAAGTAAAAAACGTATGCTGAGCTCCGGACATTTGTTAAAGTTCGAATATTCTCATCACCGCATTGATTGGACACAAGCCACACTACCCGACCGTCCTCCGACACATTGATTGTTACGAGCCGAAGTCGAGTGCTCACGCAGTTCTCTCGTCCAATCCGTGAACAGCGCTCGACTGTAGTCTCAGACGGGTAGTTTCGATCCCACAATTCCGTCATCAAGCTTAACGAAGGCGAGAATGGAAGAAATAGTCCCTTTTTATCCTCACGGTTTCACCGCGACCCAGAGCTTTCTGGATCAGTGGCGGTACGTGCGAATGTATACTTGGGACAGACTAGGACCAGTGCGCCTCCGTAAAGTCGTGAATTTTCCATGCCGATATCGTTTCGTGACCCCTTTAAGTCAGCGCCCGGTTTGTTTGTATTTTTTACACGTGTTCCTCGTATTTTTTGCGCTGTTTTTATTTCGCCACGCAATGCCCACACCCGAGTTTATACTCTTTAAAATATAAACGCGTAAAACGTAAAGTAAGAGTTTTTGTTTATATTCTTCGTTAATCTCTTCTTCTACTTGACTCTCTTTAGATGCTGTATTCTTAACTCGTCAGCATTGCGACATCAACTATTCCAATGCCGTAACATAAAACGTCTATATATTTTATTTTTATTACTTTTTTCGTCATTTGCATCAAGTTCCCGGTTTTGGCATTAAGATTTTAGCATCCAGACCGCAAAAAACGCTTTTCCAGAAAACTATAATAAAATATCGAAACCCGGGAATCTCTCTCCTAATAAAATAACGATAAGCACATGACGCCTCTAAACACCTTGTGCTCGCCGGTCGTTTTTTTATCTTTCCTTTCTAGTGTTTAGTCATTATGAAAATGACCTCCCAGATTGCCTGCGATATGCTAGCAACCTTCTTTTCTTTTTTTTTTTTCAGAATGGGAAATAGCAGAACGTTTTCGCAAGCTGCCTATACTCCAACAAATCACAACCATAAGCGAACCCCGTTGAAGGGATGTTTATACAGTCGGAAAACGGCCCACCAATAAATATGAAGACTTCTGTCACCACCGTTAAACCGTTTCAGAGCAGACGATACGGGGGAAACTTATGACGTCAGTTAATCAGAGAATGGGGCAGGGAATAAAATTGAATACAGGAAAAGACGAAGAAACATAACCGCACTTGTAATTTGATCGGGGTGCTACGATTGTACAACTACGGAGCTTATTTCTGAATGTGTGTGCATATATTCAATCACATTCAACGGAGTAGCCGGCACTGCACAAACACAAGTTAGTCGTCGGTTGTTTAGACAGCGGGAGTTTGACTATGACGACATTGTTACCCGCGATAGGTGATACATTATTTAGCCCGTGCAGTACGACTTATACCCTGGTGTCTTTAACGTGCACCACGCAGTAGTGATACATGACCGCACGTCGGTATGATGCTCATCCAGATCGGAACGCCCAGGGGTTGGGATTGAACCCACGAGCGTCGGGTTCTGCAGTGGAACTTTCGGTCCACGTGCTGCGAGTTAAGATGCGCTAACGCACTCGGCCTGCGATCACCAAAAATATTTAAAAAATAATGATAGGGCACTTGCAATTTGACCAGTGCAACACGGTTTTTAGTGTGAACCTTTTTAACGCCGCGCGCGTCGTATGGTAGTGATTACACAAAGTCGGACAGTGTCTATATATCTACATATGGAAACCAGTAAAGGTAAGGACTGAACGAACTTCATTTAAAAGTAACACAAACTACAACAAATGACGCGCCAAATCAAAGAAAGAATTAAAACGCACCTTGATTGCTTATCCCGTCTGCCAGACCGTCAGTAATCCACAGCGCCACGAGGCAGAGCCGACAGCACAGGCATATCGCCAGCAGTCCGAGCATAACACAGAACGAAGCAAACACCGGGGCCGAACCTCCCCCCGCCGGTACTCAAACTCGGCGCCCTCGGCTTTCCACTCGAACGCGCAAGTCAGGGCCCGGACGCCGACCTCGTGCTGGGACGGACAGAGCGTCCGCCCATGGGCTCAAGACTCCGCCAACTCCGCCCGCTACGCGCAACGAACACGGCGACGTCGTCCCAGACGCCGATCGTCGGGGTTCCCTCCGGCACGACTCGCTGTTGACGTATCGTTGCCGAGAATCGTCGATGAACACAGCTGACGCCACAACCACCTGTTGTCCTGCTTCTTCGTGGAGTTCGGGAACCGGCTCTCAACTCGGACGGGGCAGTGAATGTAACCCCCCGAAGACAAACTATGGAGTCCTTCGTCAGCGGAGAATCCGAATCATATTTTTCTACTTTCTTTCGATGGGAGACGTCGGCGCCGCGCGGAACGCGATGTTCGAGCGAAAAGTTTTGCCGGCGTCTGTACAGTGCACGAAGATGTTCCCGTTGCTGTCACACACCACGATGCACTGATGGGGGCGGCCCTTTCCGAAGCGCCTCCACTCTTTCCCGTAGAGGTCTCTCCCGACGCCCGCGCGAAGGCGGCGCCATCTGTCGGCGGAGCTCGGGACTCGACGCCGGGCTTGGTTGTTTTAGGCGATGCGGTCCAGACCCTCTCGCGACCACTCCTTCCTATTTTCTGTCGCGCGCACTCTCTCCACGTTTTTCTCCGTTGTTCGTTGTGCTCTTTAAAAAGAGTGTGTGGGTTTTCTTTCCTGCAGAGCACACAGAAACAGCCAATCACCGCGAGCAATAGAGGGATAATCGTGATGTTTAAAACACCCAACTGGGAAGGAAACTTGAAAGTATATTAGAAGGAAACGGTAGAAAGGTGACAGACAAATTTCCATCCCAGTCCTAGAGATTAAATATCACGATTAATACGCATCAGCTCGCCTGCACGTTGACCATTATTTTCAAACGACGAAGCTCAAAATATAATTAGACCAACAAAAAACAATAAGGTGTATACGCAGGGACAACGAGCAAGTAAAACGTAATTCCCTTGCGCATGCAGATGTTCAATGGGCATGGGCACGTTGTGCTCAATAGAAATGACGTCTTACCTGCGCATTGACTCTGCGCACATAGCATTTTTCAGAGCAAATAGGATTCTGAACTTCATCATTCGCAGGGATACTTCTATCGTAAGCCGTGATTGACCGTCCCTGTGACGAGGAAGCGCAGTCGAGGACTTCGTTTAGAGCGCAGGCGCAGGCACGCGTTGTATTTTAAAGATTACCAATAATCGAACCTTAAAAAAATATATATATGCACGTCATGCTGACGGCGTCCCACGAATAAGCGTGCAACGTCATAAAAAACGAAAACGAAAAATTTCCATAATTATGTTCCTTTATGTGGAGGCTTGGAGCGATTCCGTGATTGCGCAGGTAAATCAATACCATCGCATGCATGCGGGTAGGGCCGAAACGCTATGTTCCCAATGTCCTCGCTGCTCTTTGTTTATTTTAGCCTCTGTTTAAGCGCACCGCCATTTCCTGTTTCCCCCCTCTTAGCCGCTTCGCTGGTTCTAATGGCTAGACGTCGGCGCAGGGTTTGATGAGTTTGAGGTTGGTGAGTTCGAGGGGCCCTCAATATGACGAAGGTTCATGGCCGTGCTGCAGGCATGTAACCGATATTTAGTTTACACGTTAAACGGTCACTGGATGCCCGATCTTAGTCGCTGCGTTACCGAGATCTAATTTGCATTTCAGAGACGCGACTTAAAAAGCCTCTGACACGCCAAAAAAAAAAAATTTTTCTTTTCATGCTAGGCGTTGAAATGGCATGTCAGGACATTACAAAAAAAATTGTTTCACTATAAAGGTGCGTAGTTTTGTTATAAAAAAAAAATAGAAATACGAGGCCCAATTCAAAGTTCCCGCCGTGCACTGTGACGTAACAGTGAACCGCAAGGTGTCGGTTCGGTCAGAAGGGAGGCATCGTCGGATGTCACGTGAGTTGTATCCCTCCTCGTGCTTACCGCGAGCGCGTGTAATATTTTTTAAATATTTCTGTTATTTTCCGCACCTCCACGAGCGATCCAGGCAGACAAGGTTTCCTTTATTTGCTTTTCATCGCTTAATGTTGCTGTAAAGGTAGAAGAAGAGGAGTCCGTGAATTGACGTGATCAACTACAACGCCTAGAAGGTGCTGTGTGAGGCACTGTCAGGGTATTTTAGCAACTGAAGAAGAGATCACACTGCATGCATTTCCGAGAGACGGCAGGCATCTTCAGCCTGGAGAGTATGCGATGATTCGACGACCTTGGTGTCCGAACCTTCAGCAATGCAATTGGGCGTGTCGTACGCTAGCAATCCTAATTTCTGCGAGCGTTCTAAGTTATCTTCTTTTTTTTTTTTTTTTTCAAAACTTGATAGCTTCTTTTGTGCCCAGTATAGCTCTGTATCATCGGGCTGATGGTATGCACTCGTACACTGGCTTGTACTCGCAACGCTTTCATCATTGACCTCCATCACGTCGATCCACTGACTCTTCGTCCTCAACTTTTACAGCACGCAAACTAACCAACGGTGCAGCGATAAAGAGCTAGTGGAACTGAAACTTCGTTTCCTACAATCGCTCGTACAAAGAGTAAAAAAAAAAAGTGTTAGGCACGGTGCAACGTTACTAAAACACTCAGTTGGGAAACTCGCCGTCGAAATCCGGGCCGCTGGCGTCCACCGAGACCGAGCTAAATACGACAACAGCGCCACTCTTTATCATTTGTCTGTAGTGTGGTCACCTTGAGCTTTCAGAAAGCATGTTTTTGCGTAAAAACATAAAGAAAAGACTCTTTGTGAATGAACTTTTTTGGAGTTTAGTACAAAATGAAGGGCGCATGATGTTTTTAAAATCTTTAGTTTTTCAACAACCATGACTCAGCCATGACCATGACTCAGCGGTGCTTCCAGGTAGCGCGTCCCGACCTAGGTGCATTTAAAGCGCGAAACACATGTACGACGAAACCGTCCGATCCGACGTCCGACCGCGCAATACGACGGTCGGAGGCGAGGGTTTTCAACGCTCTCCGATGCTACGAAAACCCTCTCCCCTCAAGGTCATTCCGGCAGTCCGCACGTCGGATCGGACGGTTTCGTCGTACATGTGTTTCCCGCTTTAACCTCGGTAGAAAGTCGCGGCGCGTCCGCTGGGGAGACGGGGGTGGCACCCCTGTAACCTCTTCCACTGTATCTGTTTCGGCGCCAAAATGGCTGATTAAAGCCAAAATAGAAGTAACGTGCGGTTCCTCGAGTGGCCGCTGCGGGAGAAAAGGTGGCGTTGTGTTCGCCATTAGCTCGGTGCGCGAGGACAGATCGGGGCCACTTTTTCAGCGCAGTCTCTATGGCAGTTTCCCAACTGAGTGGTTTAGTAACGTTGGCACAGTCGTGGAGAGCACGAGGAGTGAAACTCACGTGACTGCCTGCGAACCCACCTTTAGTGACGTAGGACGATCCCTTCCTTCTGCTTCCTTCTGACCGCCCCGACACCTTGCGGCACGATGTTACGTCACAGTGCACTGGCGGGAACTTTGAAGTGGGTCTTGTATTTTTATTTTTTTATAAAACGACGCAACTCTATAGTGAAACAATTTTTTTGTAATGTCCTGACATGCCATTTTAACGCCTAGCATGAAAAAAACAATTTTTTTTTTTTTGGCGTGTCAGAGGCCCTTTAAGATCTCGTTCGCAGATGGTTCGGCTGTTCACGCGAGCGAAAAACCAGGACTTGTCTGCTACCAAGCGTCATTCGCAGACGAAAATAAAACAAGAAAAACCGTACGTCATCTGCTAACAAACTGGAAAACAAACAAACAAAGTGAACTGACTAGCTGATAAGAAACTGAGAGCCGCGCCAAGTGAGATGGAACGCAGTCTGAACGAACGATTAATTGCTACTTAACGTAAGAAGCGATTGACAAGCCGTGCTTCCCTTAATCTCAAGTTTTGCTGCCTTACACAAGCTGACATCAACGGGTGGATAAAATATCACTCGGAACAAGCGCACCAAAGGCTGCGAGACCTCTCTCCCCCTTTGTATGTTGCTGAGAAGTTCTCATCAAAACACAGTTCGGTCGTGAACTCGCGAACGGTTAAAAAATATCTGAAGACTTTTACGAGCATTCGCGTTAAAGGAGTTTGAGAACGGAGCCGCGTCCTTGCTGCAAGAAGTGGCAGACATTTACATGTTACACAAAGGAGTAATGAAATACCTTTATTCGTTACTCACTCAAAAAGTAACTAAATGCGTTACTCGTTACCGGTTCTCGAAAGGTGAGCGTTACTTTACCTCAAAAGTATTGCGAGTTACTTTTCTCATTACTTTGACAACCAAATACACAACTGCTTTTGTTTCATTTTGTTTTTTTTTCAGTAGTCGTTGCATTTAAGTAGTAGCTGCCTCTCGATGTTTTCATCAGTTATGCTTCCCCACTTCATTGAGAATACAACTCTGGCGACGCTGAAGTGTAATCCTACAGACGCGCTCGAATGAACGGCAGTGTCGTGCTTCAGAAAGGTCTGGCGAATCTGAGATTCCCCTCTTTCTTTTGTTCTCTCTGCTTCTAACGTTCGAAGTTGACAGTGAGTTCTGCGCCTTCTCATGTTGGCAACCTCCGGGTTTCTATTTTGCTTGTACACGATTCTAGAAGGTTTCACCAACGAACCTTGTTCTGTTCTCTCGGCGAAAGAGATTCTCAGCGGAAGAGTTCGACCGACGTGTTCAGCGATAAACGTTCCTATACTCTTGTGCTTTTTAGTGGTTTTTCAGGTTAGGTTCGTTTGCCTTTGTCGAAATAAACGCGTACTCAGATTGGAATTAAAACGAAGCTGTTTAAACTGAGTAGTACGCGTTACTCCTCATAAGTAACGAGAAACCGTAACCCATTACTTGGCCTTAAACGCAAGTGAGTACGTTACTCGTTCTTTTTCTAAAAAAAAGTAACTAACTACGTTACTCGTTACCTAAAAGAGTAAATAGGCAGAAGTAACTAGTTACTAGAAACGCGTTACGTACATGTCTGGAAAATTGTTACTAGCGGTACGAAGCGCACCGTCGCGGAACGCCTCGCAACGCGTCGCAAGGGTGGAGAGGCCCGCTCAACTTTGGAGGCGGCAATGGACCATTCGAAAGCCGAGAAAGGAAAGGAGGGTCACGTGCTTGATCGCACCACTCGGCGACGCGTATACTGTTCTCCATTTGCGGAACTTTCTTTTTTTCCTTTTGGGGAGTGCTGGGGACTGCAGGAGCAGGTCTTTCCAAGGCTGCGTGGTTCAAGGTTGATAAAATGCCGGGGAAACCAGCGCGACCGTCCTGCTCATGACACGATATCGGGTTGGAATGTTTGTGACTTTTCAGAGGTGTCCCGGTCCTAGTCTGGCCCAAGCATACTCGCACAGACCGCCATTGATTCACAAGCTTCTCATATCACTCATATCAGCGCTGCGCAAGTCATGCAACCATCAAGCT